AATTGGAGTGTATAACCTCGTTTTATTATCCCCATGACCCAGCTTGACACTCCGGGGATGGCCTGCCAGGCCTCGGCCTGCGTGGCAAGGGGCTGGATTGGTTCGAGCAGTGGGCCTTCTAGGGGGGACCCGACGCTCGCAATGAGTGGAAGAGGAAATTTGCTCTCTTTTTGAAAATGTTTGTGTTTTTTTTTTCCCGCTATAACAGCGGTTGGTTGTGTGAATGCGATTAGAACGGGCCCCATGTTCACCACAGTATTTTTGATCACAAACACACTGCCATCGGCACCCGGAACTGAACGGGGTGCTTGGAGGCATAACAGAGGTGTTTTGGGGGGTGGGTCCGGCTGCAGCGAGACTTGGCCCCCTCCTCTTCCTGTCCCGCAGATCAGGATGATGCCTGAGGCGCAGGGTCCAACACTATCTTGGGTCGGGGGCCCTGGCGTTTAGGAAACTGGTGGCGTCTGGCCGAGCGGGAGCACTGGTGAGGCTCGGGCTTAGGAGCCGTGGGAGCAACTGGTGGCGCGGGCTTTGCGGGTTGCTGAAGCAGCCGTTGAACTGAAGTGCTTTGGCAGGAAGTGTCGCATTGCTTGGGACAACTTCTGTGCAGCGGTAAAGCGTTCTGCGAAGCCCTCAACTTCAGGTCCAAACAGGCCAGTAGGGGAAACCGGGGAGTCGAGGAAGGGGACCTTATCAGCATCCTTGATCTCCGTGAGTTTTATCCATAGATGGCTAAACCTCTGCCAGTCGCCTGCGCTGTCATCTTGGTGGCGCGTAGAGCCTGGTCGGTCGCACTCGTCCATGCAATGGAGGAGCTTGGCCTGGAAGACTTGTAAGACCGTCATGGAATGAAGCGCAGAGGCCACTTGTCCAGCAGACGAGTAGGCTCGCCCGGCGAGAGCTGAAGTCGCCCTACACGGCTTGGACAGGTGGGCCGCCTTTGCCTTCCAGCCAATGGCCGTGGGTGGGCAGAGATGCGCGGCCACTGACTCATCCAGGGGAGGCAGTCTGTTATATCCTTTTTCTTCGCCACCGTCGACTGATGTGAGGGCGGACGAAGATGAGGCACGAAGGCGGGCCGAGTAGGGGGCACGCCAAGACCTGGTGATTCGTGGACCTCCGGAAAGAATGGTGAAGCTCGTTGTCGGGGGGCCTGACTGCGCCCGGCAAGAACCACTCATCCAGGTGGCTGCGGGAGGGCTCCTCTGATGGAGACCACTCCAAACCCAGCTCCTCCACAGCTTTAGACAGGACGCAGAAGAGCTCGGCGTCCATGCCCGTGCTGGGTGTGCTGGGTTGTACAGATGGCAAGGGGGCGGGGTCGACGTACGAGCCCGACAGCTCCTCCGCATCTGAAGCCTCCAACGACATGCGTCCATGGCGTCGCACTCGCTTCCTCCAAATGAGACCAGATCGCTCGCAGCCGCAGAGGGACGCTGGTCTGGAGAAGTGGACTGGAGAAACCTCTCTGAGTGGACAGAGTGAGGCACGCGGGGGCTCAGCCGGCGTGGGCTCACTCGTCACCGAGCGCCGAGTTCCTCTGCCCCGCTGCTTTTTCCTCACAGGCTCCTGGGAGGAAGAAAGCGGGAGGGCGCGAGGGGCAGAGTTGCTCTCTGAAAAGAAAGCTTTCCGCGAGCGCAGTGAGGCGAGACTCATATCCTCGCAATGAGGACATTCCATCTCAATGAGTGCTGCTTCAGCGTGGGCGGCGCCCAAGCATGAAACACACTCGCCATGACCGTCAGCGACGTGCAGGGGGGCCCTGCACGAGCGACAGTATCGGCGCGGCATTTGAAACAACGCCGAAAATTTGCTCTTTTATATCGCCGGATAGTGGCAGGGAACCGGAGACCGTCGCTGCTGCAGGCGCGAGGGTGGCGTGAAGTTGCGAGAATGGCCGAGCAGGAAGGGGTCTCTCGATCTGCTACGAGGCTTGATCACGGCGAAGGCTTCGTAGTCTCGTAGAGTGAAGATCTAGTAGTCATCGCTGAAGGAGAATAATTTGAGGATCCTATGGCGATGTGCCGCTTATATAGCCAGTTGACCCCGCCCATTCTGGCGGGCTTTACTGCCATTGGTTAGTTTTTTATTCACTGCATGAACCAATGGCCGTGCAGTTACACTGCATTATTGAAAGGCTTCAGTCATTGGAGAAAAAGGAATTTTCCCCAAGCGTCTTAAACAGACGCAGTACGAGTGAAGTATCGATAGGGAACTGAATTTATGAAGCAAACATCAACAATAAAATAAACGTTCAATCAATACACATGAAAGTCACATTCATTATTGTAATACTCGGTCTTATTGAACCCAAATCGTTAAAGGGGTCCTATTATTTCATTTTACAAAGTCTTGATTTGGATTTTTGGATGTACTAGAACATGTTTTCAGGCTTGATTTTTCCAAAAACACATTATTTTTCACATATTTTACATTACTGCTGCAGTTCCCAGTCTGTTTAGTTTGTTTGAATGCTCTGTTTAGTTCCTGTTTTGATAAAAACCCTCCTCCCAATAATATGAAATGTTCTCTGATTGGTTAGCTGTCCCAGTGCATTGTGATTGGTGAACCTCAGAGCGTGTTCCAGAAAAGTCACGCCCCTTACCATAAACCGAGACATGGTGACAACATGCTGCTAAAGCAGATTTTCTTCTTCTTACTTTCTTTCTTCTTCTTCGTCTTCTCTAGCGCAGCTTAACCAGACCTCGCCCATGGCCAGGGATTATTTAAATGAGTGACATTTTGACTTCACAATATCTGGAAGAAGCACACTGTAGTCTGGATGAGCCGTTTGTTGTATTTCTGGAGAAGTGTTTTCTGTTAAAGATAATGTCTCCTTTTAGAGTGGACTTTGAGCTTTGATAACCTTGCAGATATATATATATATATATTTTTTTTTTTTTTTTAAATGCTTACATTACAAATTGCAAGTTACAAATGAAACATGACACACTAACTGAAGTTGAAAAAGTGAAATTTCGTCATAAAAATACCAGTAACAAAAAAGCTACATAAATCATGCTTATACATTTTAAACATTTCCACAGCTGAAATACACTAACTCAGACATGTCTCATGTATTTATCTGTTACTACTTGCAGTTCTTCAGATTGTTTCCCTCTTCACAAGTTTTCAGTTCATTTTTATTTATAATAAATTTTCGAACAGAACTTTTGTAGATATCGTCACTTGTCTTTTTTAAAGATAATTCTGAAGAAATTTAATATTAAAGTTTTATATTCTTCTACTGACTTTGAAAAAAATGCTAATAATTTAAAGGCATTAACATTTTCAGAATGGAACTGGATACTGAATTTTGATTGATTCTCTTTCCTGCAATTTTTTGCTCATTTACTGGATTGTTTTTACTTTTTCGTGTTTGTTCTATTTGCTATCCATATCACCTGCACCTTTTTCATTCACTGTACTCTAGTAGCCGCCTTTTCGTCCTCTTAGTCAATAAATCCTTGGTAAACACTGCATGTATAATGATGGTCAGAATCATGATTACTTGCAGCTTCTATTTAGCCAAGCAGTGTTGTAAAGTGTGTCACTGTACACAACAACCTCATCTCATATGGAAATATTATTGCATTCCATAAACATACAGTGACTACATGGTATTAGTTGTGTGTTCAACGTGAAAGATATCTTGAAATGTGTGTTCAAAAACAGGTATCAGACCTTTGTCTCTGAGGACGCAGGGCCCAACACTCTGGTTGCAACAGTCCTGGCCAAGGACCCAGATGGAGATGGGATCACATACAAAATTACAGCAGGCAATGAAGAAGGCAACTTTGTCATCGACAGTCAGAAAGGTGAGACATCCTTTTCAGATTTGGTATTACTCTTTTGATCTCTCTGACAGCCGTTTTATGCTGTATAAACATTCACTAAGGAGCAGTGCAGTAGAAAAGTCTTAATTCAGTGGTTTTTTTCAAACTCATTACATTGCATCATTTTATACATGTCATTTTAAATATTAATGATACTTTATTAATATTTAATAATTAAATGTACTTTCACAGTAGGAGGATCACTGCAGGGCAGCTATTCAAACAAAAGTCTTTATACATCTTTTAATTTGGACATTATTTAGATGCCAGTGAAGTCTTTTATATTTATTTAATGTATGGGAGAGAGGTATAGGCATGGACATTATGCAGGCCAAACTAAAACATGTGTTCTAGTGAGAAAACAGCAACACCAGCGCATACGTCAATGTTGTACCACTGCTCCAATAGTAAAAAGAAGATTTTATTGTTATAGAACAAACAGTATAGAGAGGACGAGAAATTATGTGGGAGGAGTTAGGATGGAGTTTGAAGATGCTTCCCAAGCGGAAAAGAGGACTTTAATCTGAAGGGTCCTTAAGGGTTAAATGAAGACACAATGTTTAGTGTGAACATCTGGTAAATGGTAAAATCCAGAATGGCAGGAGAGTGAGTGAAATCAACAGCAACATCTGTTGGAACAGTCAAATACATAATATACTGTATTTTAGATCACACTAGTTCTTCTATGTTTTTATAATTAAGCAAAAGTACAGACATGAATAATGCTTCAATGTATCAAAGTTACATTTCAAATCAGTTTAAAAGTTGCCATGTATGTGTCACGGGTTGCCAGGGCGAGAAGCACAAAGGAGGCAGATATCAAACAAACGGAGTCTTTTAATAAATCCCCTTACGAAAATCAGGAGAACACAACCACTTAAACGATGTTAGACAGGACAAGGGAACTGAGGAAAACACAGGGCTTATAAACACATGGAATGTAATCAGGGAGAACAGAAACAGGTGAGGAGTAATCAAGGATAATTAATAAAACACAGCTGAGACAAATGGAACTTAATAAAACAGGAAACAGGAACTACCAAATAAGGACAAACAGGAACATACTTCTGACAGTATGATTGCCATTAATCATATTTACTTTTTTTTATAATCATCACTTGAACAAACAAGTCATTGGTACTTTCACATATACAAAATTAGCCACTGACTAATTATAAATAGGCAGTTATTGTAAAGCGTTTCTTTTGAGCAAAACTGTTAAAAGTTACAGTTAAAACACCCACACAGGGATATAACTATTAATATGAAATCCGTTTCTGCCTTGGAGTAGAGAGAGAGAGAGAGAGAGAGAGAGAAAACATTTCACTTTGTGAGAAATGAAGTCAGTTGTTAGAAATAAAGTTGCAATTGCAAGAAATGAAATCACAGTTCTGAGTAAGTATAGCCAGAATTTCCTTTTTATTTTATTTTATTTTCATTTTCATTTTTTTTCTAAGTTAGACATGTTTTGATTGATTGCGTTTTGATTGAAGAAGATTGATCCGTAAGATACAGACTTCACTTGTCCTCACAAAATATATTTGCTGCTTACCTTCACAGTGCTCCAATTTAGTGCTCCATTCAGGTGATTCAAACATGCACCGCTTCATTGGAAGCACCGCGGTTCCTTGAAGAGTGTCTCTGTTGATTCCCTTCCCTGCATATTCCTCCTTTTCTCTCCTCTAAAGATCAAAGCTTTCCTTTATTGCCCCTTCTACTGCTCGTCAGATCTCCGTCTCTCCTGAAATTCCCTCTATCATTCATTAGAGCCTCTCCTCCATTAGGTTGTTTTTGTTGGTGCGAAGCAGGGCTCAGACGCTTGGTGCTTGTTGTTAATTTACTTTAACTCACAGAGGAATGTGCTCAGTTTGATTTAATACCCCTTTAATGATTCAAACAGCAAAGTCAATAAGATGATCAGGCCTTTTGTATTAAAGACATAAATACAAAAACTGCATCCGGTCCATGAAGGATGTATTTACCGGCACAGCAGCATAGTGTTTACGCTGATAATCAGCCAGATCATTGCCAGCACACAGGACCTGTCAAGCATTTTTATTTTCCTCTGTTATTTGTAGTGTTTTGATTTTCCTTTGTTCTTTGTCCTGCTAAAAGGCATTGTGTTAAACAAGGTTCCAACATCTGAATGTCTGGCAATGGAGAAATGCATTGCAAAAAAAAAGACTGCCAGAAAAGATATTTGGCTGACAGGCTGTTAACATTGCACAAAAACTGATAGATTGGGTAATTAAGGATGCTCTGGATGTGTCCAGCAATCCATAAAAGAGAATACACAAGCTATATTGTTTATGTAAATATGCACATTTTCACTTTCTGTAACTTCTGCTACTTGACTTACTGGAGTAAGGACCATTATGAAATTAATATTAGCCACACAATAGGTGCAGATTTTGCAATAAATAATTGAAATGTAAAAAATTACATAGACTGCAACAATTAACAATTTGTCAGAACCTCTAGTAGACAAGCTATTTTGTTTAGTTATCTGTAGGAGAATCATGATCTCTATTTGATACAAAAAAAATCAATTTATCCAGAATTGTGCAGCTCTACTCCTGTTTGACTGAGTGTTTCTCCCATGGCATACAGTAACAGGCAAATAGTAACCTCCTGCCTACTCCCCCCATACCTTTTACAATTTATGTATAGGCTATACTATATAATGCAAACAAATTAAATTAAAAAAATATATAATAAGAGCATTTTTAATACAATTAAGCACTAGTCAAGCTGCGATAGCAAACAGGACCACGTTTTTTTTTTTTGATCGCATGTTTTTGCGATCAGATTTTTTAAACCGGTAAACTCCTGTAAACTTTTCAGTCCAAGGATCCAAACTCCACAAACACAGCTGTGCAGAGGATTACTGAGTTGAGCTGACAGCCAGTAAATTGGATTTTAGTCAGAGCAGAGGAGGGGGGCATCTGAGCGCAAATTGGAGGGGTAATAGTGCTGACAACATCGTGCCAAAAGACAGATGCGTTTTTTTAAAAAGGTACATCTGACTCCTAAATCTGACAAACAGCTTATCATTCAGTAGTACATGAAGATGTTGGAAATATCCGATGCGGCCTTGTCCTCGTTTCTGGAGTGGGATGGAGGGGTGTGACATAAACACGCGATGAAAGCGAGAAACATTAATTTTCTTTCAGACGCTCTTGTCAATACAAGCCGAACATCTTTTATCTGTCTTTTTCTCCCGCTGCCTCGTGTTTGATCTTTTTCCATTTTCTGAGTGGAGCCATCTTCATTTTCAACTTTTCTTTTTTCTCTCTCTCTTTTTTTGGAAGATGAATAAAAGCGCGGATGTTGATGGAAAGCCAGAAAGATCTATTTTACTTGATGCCAATCACCAGAGACGGTGCATTAGATTAATATGACGCACAAATTGCTTGAAAGCACTTCAGAATGTTCTGAAGCCAACATTAATGAGGGGAATGTTTGTCTGGGTATTTTTAGGAAGAGGGCGCTGAGGAGGGGGGCACCCGTTCTGCTATTGACCTACATTGCCCCCTGTTGTTGAGAAATATAACAGTGTTGGCTATTCGAAAAGTGTTTTTATACATCTTTTTATAGTTTTTATGCATTGCTTGAAAGCACTCTTTCTAATGGAGCATCTAGAAATAGGCAACAAGATTGATGTATTATATAGAAATATACAATCTCACCCCTCGTTCAGTGGTGTAGTGGTGCCTGGAGAAGTGGGTATACTCTTAATTTATGCCCCCATTTTTTTAAGCGGCCTAGCAACGGCCTGTGTTATAAACAGTGACATGTAAGAGTCAAGACTAATCTTGCATATTTAGTTCACCCCAAAATGGGCCAATAGTATTTGCACATTTTCACTTTCTGTAACTTCTGCTACTTGACTTACTGGAGTAAGGACCATTATGAAATTAATATTAGCCACACAATAGGTGCAGATTTTGCAATAAATAATTGAAATGTAAAAAATTACATAGACTGCAACAATTAACAATTTGTCAGAACCTCTAGTAGACAAGCTATTTTGTTTAGTTATCTGTAGGAGAATCATGATCTCTATTTGATACAAAAAAAATCAATTTATCCAGAATTGTGCAGCTCTACTCCTGTTTGACTGAGTGTTTCTCCCATGGCATACAGTAACAGGCAAATAGTAACCTCCTGCCTACTCCCCCCATACCTTTTACAATTTATGTATAGGCTATACTATATAATGCAAACAAATTAAATTAAAAAAATATATAATAAGAGCATTTTTAATACAATTAAGCACTAGTCAAGCTGCGATAGCAAACAGGACCACGTTTTTTTTTTTTGATCGCATGTTTTTGCGATCAGATTTTTTTAAATCGGTAAACTCATTCTTTTCCTTTTTAAGGTATTGTTTTCATTATAATGTACTGATTCAAATTAGTAGTCAATAATTAAATATTATTTTATCACTCTTCGCACCTCCCCTGACATGCACTCACGCCCCAGACCACCTCCGCTTGCATTCACGTGATTTGTCGAGATGAGAGGCGGACGCGGGCGCAATCATCAATCAAATTGAAAGGGAAGCAGGCGCATCCTCACCCCATCATTGTCTTTACTGGGTGTATTTAGGGAATATTGGCATTTATTCACATGTGATTTGATTAGCTAGTCATGGTGGACTGTCATGATTTTGGCTAATG